CGCCTCTCCCTCTGCCTCTGAGCCTGGCGTGCTCCGGTCCTGCCTGCTCTCCCAGCCTGTATCCTGGAGGGCGGAGGTGCAGAGCGGGGCCCCAGCAATGGGCACCCAGCAGAAACAAGACCTCAGTCTGCGTATTGTACGTCATTACGATTGATGGGCAGCGACGGGTGTGGCATTGTGGCACTGGCCTAGGGCAACGGGAGCTGGAATAACGGTGATCTCTGTTGTGCGCTGGGGTGTTGATAAAACTTCCGCCTGCAATAACTTAGAAGCTAAAGAATGACCACGGGAAACAGCAATGCAGACCCTCTGTGGGCCGCACACCCATTAATGAGGAAGCAGAGGGGGTGCCAGCCGGTTGGGTGAGCCTCTGTTTCACCTGATAGGCAGTTTCTCCAGGTCAGAGTTAGTGCTTGGAAGCTGCTTAAGAAAAGGAAAGCCCGGCCGGTGTGGCCCAATGGTTGAGCGCCCACCCAGGACCCAAGAGAGAGCCCGTTTGATTTGGTAAGGGCACAAGCCCGGGTTGCGGGCTTAATCCCCAGCATGGGGCGTGCAGGAGGCAGCCAATTCTCTCTCGTCACTGATGCTTCTATCTCTCTCCCTTCCTCTCTGAAATAAATAAAAAAACATATATTAACAAAGAGGAACCATAATTTGGAGAAACTGATTAAAATTGTACAGCGCTGCTCACGGAATGTAGGAGACAGTGAACTGACGTTCCCTGGAACATGACAGAATATTCGGGGCCATGAGGAGCTGGCCTGGGTTCCTGAAGCCCGAGACCAGCGAGTCTCCGCCCTGAACGGGTTTGGGGAAACCCCAGGGGAGCGCCGAGTCGCCAGCGGGTCTATTTACACATCGAACGTTTATTTTGCTCCTGACGTCAAAGTAAATAAATTACCGAACAGCCTAAAGTCTTCCTTCTCTCTGTGCCCCTCACATCCCGGCCCGGAATACCGAGCCTGAACCGCGTGGCAGGCGTCGGCGTCCGCAGGTCGGCTCGGGGCAAAGGAAGGGAGGAAAGCAAGCGCAGAGCTGGAGGAAAGATTTTATTTGCCTGGCACACAGACACAGAAAGGCGCCTGCCTACCAGGCAGGACAGCTGAGGACACGTCAGAAATGCTGCTGCTGAATTAAGACAATGACAGGATTTCCATCTCTAATTTTATTATATGGAGCGTCTTCTCCAGGCTACACTTGGCAATGGCGGGCGTGGCTCACAGGCAGCCAGGAGCTACTGTGACCTATAACACACTGACACACAGACTAAGAGCAGCTACTCCGTTTTAGAAAATTAATATAGTATTTCCCCTTCAAGTTCTCAGCAGTATGCCCGCTGTTTTTGCATTTTAAAAATGTAAACCATCTCCTTGTAAGAAACGGAAACTGAAGAATTTTATAAAACTGCTTTTAGGAAATACCTAATGCTTCGGGGCTTGTCCCTATCTCCTATGCATCATTAGCATAAGTAAGTGATATTAAATATGCTGTTGGTATTGATGATAAAGCACATACTAATGTATCCGTGAAACAATAAAAGCACGTCCGACCCTCTGTGCCCCATTTCTGAACACATATTGTTCTACAGGCGGGCCCTCCCAGAACTCATCATTCACTGAATAGTTGTTGAAAGCAGTGGGAAGGTGCCCGAAATACTACAGTCAGTGGCAAGACCATTCATCAAACCACAGCCTATTCAGTCTGTTCTGTGACCGAAGAAAACGGATCCCAGCCTCTCATTTCATGTCACTCATGTACAAACAGAAGATGGCATGATTTCTCCATTCTCAAACTCCAGGTCTCACACTCGTTATTCATGAGCCTTCGAAGGGCACTTACTGAAATCGAAAGAAAAACACTCCCTTGGTCATGATGACTGTCTCTCTGCCTCAAATCAAAAGCTACCTATGTACATTTAAAAAAATCCATGCTTTCACAGGCGTGACCTAAGTGTGCGTCCATGTTGCAGGAGGGAGACTTCCCATGCGACCTGAGCCGGTGCATGTAAAACACTTGCACTGCGTCCCTGCTCCCACCTACCAGGGACTGCACGCGTAACGAGCCCCCGAGGCAGCTACAAGTCATAGAGCGTTTCGAGAACAGTGGCGATGGACCAGGCTTGCGTCTCGCAGCTGAAGGGGCAGTGCTGGCCGTTCTCGTTGGTCAGCTCCGGGAGCCCTTTCCAAGGGGACCTGGAAGAGAGAAAAGCCGTTTCATGAGACGTAATCTGACACGGATCCCGTGGGGTTAACAAAACAGGCAAGAGGCCTGGGGATTCTGCCTTCCTGTATGGAAAACAAGCACGCAGGGCTTTTGCTACGAAACAGGACATCCTAAAGCGTGTGTATGAGGAGTCTGGATGGACATTCTTCTATTCCATCTTTGGGGTTGAAGACTTTCCGATACAAAGGAATCCCTTTAGGTATTGAACACACAGGAGAAACTCCCATTCCGACCAATATGTAGACAAGGAGACCGATGTCCCTCTGGCCTAATTCCATTCCTTTCGGAGTAAGTTCATGAGACTCAAATTAGATGTATTAAGTTGGATCTTGAGGAAACTGTAAAATTCAGGTGAAACAATGAAGAAACATCCAATTATGATTTGGTGAAAGATGATGATTAAAAACAACATGAACTTCCATACTAATTTTTCATTCTGCTGAATACAATTGGTATTTATTGTGCATTTATTATGCTCTTATACTAAGTGCTTTATGCACATGATCTCATTAAGCCCCATTAGGTCGGTACCATATAGTGATTCCTGTTTATAGAGGTTTATGGAGATTGATGACGCGCAGAGCTTGCTATCAGAATACAGTGTTATTAGCATATCAAGTGTATTCTTCATTTCAATGCAAGCTCTCCAATATAGAACATAAGTTTAAAATGACAGAATTCTATGACGTTTCATTTCTTCAGTCGGGGTCTGGAAGCATGTTTGTTTCGTTATTGTGCTTTGTAGCTTGTGGCTGTTACATATGCTTTTCTGTAGCTGTCCAATATTTCATGATAAAAATAGGAAAATAACTCCGTTGGGCAGATGTGGAGATACTCTGAATAATAACTAACAGCACCAGCTAGTGAAAAACTGCCATAGAGAAATGGGAACTGTAGACAATGTTTGTTTCCAAGTGTTCAGGCGACGTCAGAGGGAAGCGCAGAGCAGCGGGGCCGGGTGTCTGTGAGGGGGGACGCTGTCCCTTCCGAGTCCCCGTGCGGAGGTCAGTGAAGGCGCAGCAGGGCGGCCCTGATCCAGCCTGATCGGTGTTCTGATAGAACGGGGACACTCGGGCAGGGCGGCGCTCTGGGAGCAGAGAGAGGGCTGGAGGAGACCCTCCCGGCGCCTCTGAGGGGGCACGGGCCACCCACGCCTGCACATCAGGCTCCCGAGAACAGCACCCTAGCAGTGAATTCTGCTCTGCTGCAAAGAAAACCAAACGGAGACCTAGAGAACGCGTGCCCTTGCCGGGAGGGTTGCAACAGTGCCGTCTTGTGGACGCTCTGAGAACCGCGCCCTAGTAAGGGATGCGCGGGAGACCATCCCTTTGGCTCTGCCCCAGTGCTGAGGGCAACGCAAAAGCCGCCCGCAGGTGCGAAGATCACGTGGAGGGTAACCCTTGGAGCAAGGTCATGGGACAGGTGGGGGGACGGGACCACAGGTGGAGGGAGAAAAACGACCGGGCAGGGCGAGCCTGCTGACTACCCCTGGGCAAAGGGAAGAAAGCGGACTCAGTGCAGACCATGAGCAATGCTGGGGGTGGTGCTGGGACGTGGGGTGCTCCCGTCACACACGCTCACGCTGATGGGAGAGAAGCGTGCAGGGGGTGCCCGTGGCTGCACTGAAGCGAAGGGAACAAACACACCCATTCCGGACACACGGAGGTCCCTCAGCTCTCATGGCAAAGGGGATACAGTTCGTGCTGTTTATGCACAATTGTTAGCAATAGGATGTACGTACATATTCAGGTTTAACCTAGACTTTGGGACCGAAGAGCTTTTGCCTGGATTTCCTCACTGTATGAGGACACAGAACTCTGAGAGTTACTTACCTGCTAACAGGCCAAAGGGTGCGGCAAGTGGGTTTGAAACAAGAGCCCAAAGGCCAACTCTGATACTTTAATGACAAGGAGAGCTTTTCTGAAAATTATTTATCGATATGCCTTTAATCCGTTCACTCAAAAGGCCCATTTTTTATATTTATCCTGTGCGAACCCGATCCAAACAGACAGAGCAGCTGAAGTTAAAGTGAAAGACTATTTCACATGCACAGATCATGCAATAAAGTCTTCGGAGTAAAATAAACAACCCAGCACGATGAAGGGAAGGCAGGACAACCTCACAGACCTTGTGTTGAAGAGTAAAGCTTCCCCATTTTGTTGGGCAACTGGAGTGAACAGCAGTGAACTTTAAGGAAATGTCGCTTTCTACCAATACTGGTTATGGACATGACACGACTTACCTCTCAAGATGAACATAATGCCGAGAAAGGACATTCTTAACCAGAAATATCGTCTTGGCGTTGGTCTCCGGCCCCATCAATTTGGAAAAATACAATTTTGCACGAAGGAAATACCCAACGGGCCACAGCCACTCCTGGAAAAGAAGATTCAACGAGTGAAGGCACGGGCGAGCTGTGAGCAGCTGACATTATGTGAGGAAAACCTGAAAACTCAGAAAAGAGAAATGGAATTCTTACAGGTCCTTGGTGGTAATTGAAACCTTTCGCCAGGTTGTAGTTGTCGTTGTCCAGGGCGTTGTCATAAACCCCACAGTACACCATGTCACTGCAAGAAAAATGACACGCAGGTGAAAAGAGACCAGACATGATGTAGGAAGCATCAGAAAAACGGTTCCACAGCAGAGGTAAGCCAATCATGTTATTCTGTCTCCCACTCATCGCCCACTGAACCTTAAATGAGTAAACCCAGAGTTCAGAGCAATTTAATGGTGCATTCGGGAGTGACTAACCAATACTGGCTAATGCAAAAGACTACCGATCATCCAGCCAGCTCGCCTTCAAGGAGTTACCCTGACACTAACATCGGTGACAGTACATTGTTTCACCAGGCCTCTCATGTGCCTATGACAACTAAAATACACACAGAATAATGCGAATTAGTGGTTACTAAAGATACAGTTTTATTAACTATGAAATATTGGGAAGGTTGTGTTTTAAAGTTCTCCGTGAAATTATGTTAAAATTAACTTCAATAGGGACATTATCAGATTATAGGTAGCAACTGAATACACAGGGAATTCATACACACTTAGAAACCAAAGTATGACAGACTGATTGCGACAGATAACACAGGACAGCTCCCTCTGCTCCGTTTAATTAAACGATTCCTTGTTTTCTTTGCGGGAGGGAGGCAGGACTTGCCACATGAGTTGCGTCAACCGTGGGTGTGAGTTTTGGCCAGTGGCTCCTATCACCTCGGGAAATGTGGGGCGCGCTCAGAAGGCAGGGAAGCAGACACAACACAATGTTCAAGGCTGAAGTGAGTGCGCGTAAATGGGAAAAACGGACAAAGAATGGGCACAGGGACCTGGGACTCACACAAGGACACAGAAAGCGAACTGATGGTGGGCATCCATCCACCCTGAAGGGAAAAAGGAGACAGACAGGGCTTTGGAAACTCAAGAAAAGATAAAAGCTGGGAAGGAGGAGGAATGTACAGACTTATCATCAGGACATCAAGACAAAATGGTGTATTGGCTTCAATAGAAATAGGGGTGCGACAGCGCAAAAGGGAGAGGAGTGACAGCTTGGAGCGTGAGGATGCTCTGAGGAAATGCTGTGTCTGTACTCCCGTGTCTGCAAAGTCACCGTCACATTAGAAGGTACTCATGACGCTAGTGCTATGACTTAACTCCTTTACCGACGGCCGAATGTCGGGCAGCCGAAGGCATTCCGGACACCATGCTTTATGAAGACGCGGAAGATGTGTTTAAAACGGAGTGTCAATGCAGCGTCGGAGATTTCTGCCGACAAAACAGTCATGGTGGACGCACGACGACACCGACGGCTTTCTTAATACCGACACGCCACCTGGACCTGCCTCCAGGTTTTCACGCGCGATGACACAGAATCACGCTCACTAGAACCCGAGCCACATTCTGAAAGCTCATCCTGCGACTTACTCTGGGTCCAAGGTCCTCATGCCCAGGGGCCCGAGCAGCTTTTCCTCGGCCATCGCCAGGGCTTTCCACGCCTTCTCCGCCGTGAACAGCTCGGGGGCCTGCGGGGCGTCAGACACAAGCACACAGGAGGTCACGAGGAGTGATTTCCACTCCCCGGGGAACGTAAACTCAAACTCGCTACACACGTGGAAAGGCCACTTTAGAACCCAGTGTGGCCGGAATCTGAGTGCTGACGCCAAACCGGAGCCAATGCAATGGGCTGACCGGAAGCCCTGGTCTTGGCCTTAGAAATGAGGAGGCTGCTGGAGGGTTACCTCCTGGGTCGGTCCCCACAGGGCACCAGCCCGGAAGGAAGCTGCCGTGGCTGCCACGGCACGGGCCACGTGGACCCATCCAATTCCCCCTCCAGGAGGCCCCCATGGCCTCCTTGAAGTTCACCTGGTCGCCACTGCTTGCTTCTGGGGCCAGAATAAAACAGACGGACTTGCCGCCAATAGCATGCGACATGGAGGAGGAGAGAGCATCGGTGACTAAGAGTCCGCATTAAGCGATCAGAGAGAATCACTGATCGGCTGCCTCCTGCATGCTCCCCACTGGGAATCGAGCCCCCAACCTGGGCACGTGCCCTGACCGGGTGTGGGAGGCGCGGGTGAGGGAGGTGCGGGTGAGGGAGATGCAGGTGCCTTCAGCTGTCAAGGCAGCTGGGCGGGGCCGTGGCCAGGCTGGATCTGACCCCGCTACCTGATCCAGCTGCCCGCTATGCCCTACGAATAGCCTCCTCTCTTATGTGAGCTACGATGTGATGACTTCATTCGTCACCATCCATCGTTTTCTATGTTTCCGTGCTGACTGTGGTTGGCTAAGGGTGACAGAATACTGCTTCACTAATGAGAAAAGATTATTTAAATCAGATACTAAGCATGTACTTTTTATCAATCCAATGAGAACAGCTGGGAATGGGGAACTAAATCCACCCTCGCACAACGTTTCTGAAATGTGAAGGCCAGACACGCCGCTCACCACAACCATGGCGATGGTGAAGTTGGGCCGGAGCTGGTAGTCGCACCACGGGCTGGACGCACCGTAGCTGTCCTTGTAGATGCCACGCTTGTGGACCAGGTCCGGGTTCTTCTCGTTCGGGTCGGACGGGTCTTCAGACACGTAGAACAGCTTCTCGAAGTTGTCCTGTATCTTCCTGTCCCACTCCTCATAGGACACCTTCACGGTCTTTCCTGAAACATTGCACAAGGCATGGTGGTTGGGCGCCCTCAGAGAAACCCACGCATTTAGTGGGCAGTTTGCGATGATGTCTGTGGCTCACGCTCGCGCTCTATTGGACAGAACGGGCCGAGGAAAAGGCGTGTAAAGGTTTCCTGATTGGAAAGCCACACCTCGCTCACAGTCCCGCTGGGGAACAGAAAGGCAGCAGGAGGCCCTGGCCGGTCTGGCTCAGTGGATAGAGCGCTGGCCTGCAGACTGAAGGGTCCTGAGTTTAATTCTGGCCAAGGGAACAGGCCTGGGTTGTGGGCTCGATCCCCAGTAGGGGGCGTGCAGCAGGAGGCTTAGTAAGGATGACGCCTCTCACATCTCAGTTCAGAGCTGCTATAGAGCCGGGTAACAGTCTGTTAGTAAGGGAATGGCTTTCTTCCCTGCTCATCTGAAGGGCTGCCCATGACAAGCTCACTGAGCCAGGTGATGGTCGGGGAGGGTAAGAACGCAGACCGTGCCCCGTTTCTCTCCCAATACGACGGGCGGCTCACCGTGTCTTCTCACTGTGACTTCGCGGTAAGGGAAGATGTTTTTCCGGGACAGTTCCAGCAGCCACCGCACGGCGGACTTACTCAGGCCCACGATCTCCACGGCGGACCCGTCTCTACAATGAAAGACACGTTTTATTCTCTGAGCCGGAGCCGGGCAAGCACTGCCTACCGGGCACGCGACCAGCGACGGTGATGAGCTGTCGAACCACCGTGTCATAAAAACCACCATCTATAAAGACACTCGCCCTTCACGGGACTGTGGATGAGGGATCGCGCTTCCTACTACTGGCCATCGCTTACCTTCTTATCATATTTTTAAAAAATGCTTTGGAGCAGGCCTCCTGGTGCTACCACAGGCTGTGTGCTTACGCTGACTGTACCGAGTAAACTCACCCCACATACACCTCAGTTCAGGCTCTTTGCCTGGTCTGTGTTGTGAAAGGGGAGACATTAAAAAGAATGCTTTGGAGCAGAATGGAGATGACAGAGGAGAGGGGAAGGCGGCTGGCAAGGGGGTGGCGTGCGGACTCAGAGGTTACTGAACTGGAGTCCCAGGGAAAAATCAGTAAACACGGGTGTGGGACTGGATGGAGGAAGCCGGGACACCATCGTTTGAGAGCTCGCTTTGAAGGAAAACGAAAGGGAAGCCCAAGAGCTCATAATATACCCAAACAGGTTTGTAAGAGAATTTGCAGCCCTAGCTGGTGTGGGTCAGTGGATAGAACCTTGACCTGTGGAATGAAGGGTTCCGGGTTTGATTCTGGTGGGGCACATGCCTGAGTTGCTGGCTCAATCCCCAGTGGGGGGCGTGCAGGAGGCAGCCGATCCATGATTCTCTCTCATCATTGATGTTTCTCTCTCTCAACTCCTCTCCCTGCCTCTCTGAAATCAATAAAAACATATTTAAAAAGAAAAGAAAAGAAAAAAGACAAAGCAGGGGTGTAACTCTGTAGGGGCCGCAGAGAAGCCGTGCCTGGGAGTGGCTGGGATGCCTCGGTTCCTGGCTCGGTCACTCTCCCCCATCTTATCCATCCACGTGCCGCAGTTAAAGCGATTTCCTCCGAAAACAAATCCCGTCTCCTCGTCGACCCCGGCGGTGATATTGAAACCTAGGAGAGCCAAAGGGAACATTTGTGCCAGGAAAAGGCATGTCACCGGAGACCGCCTTCCTCCAAGTTGTGCTCGCTCCGGACACACTCCCGGGAGCCTGCCCGCGCGTGGGCCGGAGCCAGGGGTGCCATTGCAGCCTGCTCGTGAGTAAGACCCAAGCCCCTGCCGAGCAGAGGGACGGACAGCCCCGGGCTTTGTTCCCGTGGAGAGCTGTGGCCGGACAGGAACAGCTGGATTTACGAGTCAGAATGGGCCAAGCCCCAGAGCACATTTTTCGAGTGAACAAGTTGCAAAAGGAAATGCGTCAGATGCCTTTCCTGCAAACGTCTCAGTGATGGACAATAGCAATATATTCAACCACGTACGTGGCTAAGTCGTATGTGATTATGTAAGATAAAATTTAAAACCATATCATTTATAGTATATATATACATGGTGTAAAATTTGTATGTTACCACTACAAACACTAAGTTAACTAAGTAGGGTTAATTACTGTTTAAAATGTAACTTATGAGTCAGTGAGTTATCTGAAATACCTGTGGTAGATCACTTAAAAAGCTTATCATTTTATATGAAAAGCAGTAGTGTTATAAGAAAGAGTGCCCTGGCCAGTGTGGCTCAGTTGGTTGGACGTCGTCCTGTGCACCGAAGGGTTGCCAGTTTGAGTCTTGGTCAGGGCACATGCCCAGGTGGTGGGCTCGGTCCCTAGCAGGGCGCGTGCAGGAGGCAGCGGATTGATGTTTCGCTCAT